ACATTTAAAAGAGTAGCCTACACAACTTACAGGAATTGTGCACTGAGCAGAAAGCTCCTTAGCCCACTTTGAATAGACAAGAAGAGTTGGTAAGGGGGGGAAAACAGGACAAGATTGTCACCTTCTACTGAGAAGGGACAGGCATTTACAAGCAAATAGCCCCTGTGGCACGCAGCAGCTGAACAGGGATAAGAAACAACGACAGCAGAGTCCATAGCCAGTACAGAGACAACTTCTTTTAGCCAGGAAGAAGCATTTAGACTGACAAATTTTAGAATTCTGCACATGCTCTGGGGAAAAGCACAAGGTGAGAAAGACTCTGAGCCTTCCACCCAAAGCCCCCCACCTCCAGAGACACCCCCCAGGAGGCAATGGGCAGGGGCCAAGAGAACATCAACTGCTGACACCAACCTCTAGAACTAACCCAGCCTCACGCCTGCACGTGGGTGTTTGTGTGATGGAACCCCATGAATATGGATATCCACACTCGGTGAGGTTGGGGTAAAATGTGCGGTGGGGGTGCAAGCTGTGTGGAGGAACCCCCTGGCACTCCGGCCGGAGTACACATACTGCTGTATAACTCCATTCCAGCCTAGAGTCTGTTTTCCACAAGTCAAAGCATCACCTTGAAACAAACTCTTCCCAAATTCCACACACTCTGAAACACATTAGCTTTTAATCACTGCTACACATAATATTGTGGAAACCATGTAGGTGGAATGCAACAGTCACATCTTAGAAAGAATTTTACATCAATAACAACTGGCAAAAAACAAGAGAACCTTGTTTTCTAGGAAAATATATAACTCGTAGAGTAGCCAACCCAACCAGCCTCCTCACTTCTGTCCTTCAAGAATCACTCGCAACTATCTTCAGAAAGGGAATACCGGAAAATAGAATTCAGAAACTCAAGCAAAAGAGCGGAAACACTACTGAACTATTGCTCTCATAGCGCTTCAGAACAGAACCTGCTCCAGAAATATTTTTTTCCTCTATTTGAGCACTAGTCACTTTAACAACTCACAACCTGACCATCTCACTTCAACCATCACTAACAGCCCTTGTTTCTCAGGAACCCACGACCTTTTCTCTTCAGTCCTTTACCCACTGAAGCAATCAAGATAAGCTTGATTGGTCTTCATTGTCATTTAATATTACAATTGCACCCGAGGAAAAATTTCTGTGCTTGAAAACCTGTTAATTTCTGCCTAAAAGTTGTCAGTGATTTAAAGAAAGGTATCACCTCTCCACTAAAAGCCTTCCACTCCACCTGTAGGCAAACACAGGCAGCCTTCCAAAGACACAGCACAGAGCAGAAACAGAGTTTTAAAAGGACTGGTTAATTAGCCATCTAAACTTGGGAAAAGTAAAGGCCACAAACAGATAGCATCAGCTCGAGAAAAAAGCTCAGGAAGCAGCAACAAGCAACAGTTTTCCTGATTCTACCATCACAGTAGTGCTCTGAGGATCATAAGGTCTTAAAAGCCACGAGGAACTTCTGCACATAAAAAGGGCGTAGACAGAGGTTTAAAAAAAAAAATCTCAAGAAATTTACTTGACAACTTTTTTTTTTCTTTCTTGGCTTTAACATCACAACTTCTCACAGAAGCATCTGATATTCAACCGCTCACCTTGAAAATCTCTTGTTCCAAGTTCTCCTTCCCAGACAACATCTCCAGGAAGTCGTAATAGAACTTCATTTGTACTGTCTTGCCTTCAGTGAGGAGCACCCCGGCATCCCTCAGGACATCTCCCCCTTCCCCAGGCAGTAAGAGAGGAGGGACACGGTGCCCTGGATGCAGCCCTCCGCTTGATGCCGGGACACCGAGGCGGCTGCGGCCACCTTGCAGTATTTGAGGGGCTCTAGCTCCTTGTTGCCTGAAAAAAAAACACCCAAAAGAGAGGGATGGAGACGTTCACCCATTGGTCCTTCCACAGGCGCTTCCCAAGTCGAAACGATCGTTGTCTTTCCCAGAAAGACAAAACCCCCAAATTTTTGGCTCTGCTCCGCAGAGGGGGAGTCGCTTCCGAGAAGTTCTCAGCCCCAGGGAAGAGACGCGATGACCGTGAGCCAACTGGGTTTAATCCGCCCTCTTACCAGGCAGGTAGGCCTCGCTGTCCGTCAGGTTGTGGACCATGACGGGGTTTCTGGCAAGGCAAAAGATGGGCCTGTGGATAGTCACGGTCTCCTCTCCAACCTGGATCTGTCTGGAGACAGCGTCGAAGCAGCCGAGGAGGGCGGGAATTCGGACACCCTGGAACAGAAGAGAAGGCAGGACCGAAGGGTGAGGACGGGAGAGGGAAGAGCTGGCGCTGGCCCTGAGCAGGGATGGTGCTTTGGGATGGATCCTGCCCGCTCTCGCTTGGGGAGCAGACGCTGAGTCCTCCCCCTCTGAAGAAGTTCTTAGCCTGCTTCTAGTATAGTCCCTGCCCAAGGCTGGGTTAAAACCCAGGCAAGCTAATCCCATTTTAGATTTAACAAAGGAGGAGGAAATGACTAAACACAGAGGTTTTGCTATATTAGGACAACTCCTGACATAGAAACTGCTCACTCTACCTAAGCTTTTCATTAGAACATCTTGAAGTCTTGCCCAGATTTGGGTGAGATTTCGTTGCGTGGAAGAAAGATGAAGACGACCACCCTGAAACTGAAGCAAGGATTGGAACCAGAAGAGAAGAATTTCTGAGACAGGGGATGGTAGTGAACTTCAATCACAGAATCACAGGATCATCACGGTTGGAAAAGCCCTTGAAACTCCTCCAGTCCAAGCATGACCCGCACCCTGACCGTCCCCAACGCCACCAGATCCCTCAGTGCTGGGTCAACCCGACTCTTCAACCCCTCCAGGGATCCCGGGGACTCCCCCCCTGCCCTGGGCAGCCCATTCCAACGCCCAACAGCCCCTTCTGCAAAGAAATCCTTCCTCAGAGCCAGCCTGACCCTGCCCTGGTGCAGCATGAGGCCATTCCCTCTGGGCCTGGTGCTGGGTCCTCGACTCAAGAGACTCATCCCCCTCTCTGCACCCTCCTGTCTGGGAGTTGCAGAGGGCCAGGAGGTCTCCCCTCAGCCTCCTCTTCTCCAGACTAAACCCCCCCCAGTTCCCTCAACCACTCCCCAGCAGACCTGTGCTCCAGACCCTGCACCAGCCCCGCTACACTTCTCTGGACATCCTCGAGTCATTCAAGGGCCTTTTTGGGCTTAGGGGCCCAAAACCGAACCCAGCAATCGAGGGGCGGCCTCACCAGGGCTCAGACCCCTTCCCTGTCCCCGCTCCCTGCTGCACGAGTCATTTGCAGCTGCTCACCCAAACGCCCTCGCTCCACCACGGTCCCTGGCACCCCCGCTCTGAACGCAGCGCCGGGCGGTACAAATCCTCTCGCCGGCTGCAAAGTCCGAATTGCTTAAGGC